GGAAAATCGAAGTTTTAAAAAAAGCTTAAATCAATTTCCAAAAGTAGGCAGTCACCTTAAGGTAATATTTTGCTTGGCCACTTTTGGAGCCAGCCATACAGATAAGCTTAACCAAGTCAGTTTAACCAGGTGCCCCTTTAAAGACTAACAGACGGTATTCAAAAGTCAAAATCCCTACACTGTCGATCACAGGGAGCCCAATTTAGATAAATTTCAATGGTCCTCCGGTCGCTCATCATGTAGAGATACTGCTACAGTGTTTTCACCTTTCATTTTTATCTAAATTGGGCTTCCTGTGCTCATCTGTTACTAACCAATAGCTTTATTGATTTCTTGATTATCTAGCCTTTCACTCAAGACCACTAATAGTTTGGTTAGTGTTAGGGCTGTAGCCATGTCTATCATGGTATTGGAAAACTGCTCCAGGTAGTGGAATGACTGCCTTAAAAACAAAAGATAAAAAAGTACAGTTATATAAAAGTAGAGCGGGATCCCTGTGGCTAATTTTGTCCATTTTTAATTCGAAACATGCCGCTGTTTTCAATAGACTGCAGACTCATTTATATAGTGTAAGACTCGTTTATAAGTAAGATATCCAAGGAGTTACGAAAGGTTATATTGTCCAAGTCTAAATTCTAAACACTGAAGCTTTCACGGTATTAATCGATAACACACTCCAAAACGAGGCTAGGTCTGTACAAATGAATCCATAATCAAAGATAACAGCGGTATTTATTGTATCACAAGATGGACTTCTTTGCTTTTATGAGTTCCTAAATAGACAGTGCGCATGCGGAAACGGTTGTGGCTGCTGACTGAATTCGTGTAACAATGCTAGGAGAGAGAGGACTGATTTGAGCAAACACGACTAGTCTAGATGCACATCCAAAAATTTGAATTCGCAATCAATAAAGGCTTAAAGGCTAAAAATCTGATCTGAACTTACTTAAGTAGCTCTTGAAGTCCTGACTGAGTCAAATTAGACAGCTTTGTGCGAGATGAGAGAACGGTCAGTGCTTTCTTTAACAACCCCTGGTTCTCGCTGCTAAGAAAACCACTCCTGCAAAGATAAAAATGTCATCCAGTAAAGCTGCCTCCATTGAGCCTACTCACGTGGCAGCCATGTATATTCTTACACCATGTACTGTCAGCCAGGAAGAATTCTATTGAAAACATGAGATTCAACTGATGAAATTCAACAAGAGACAATTAATGACGTCAAGTGAAACCCAGTAATTGAGGAATATAAAACGCGCTGGAATCTTTGAAGCATGCAAGAGACAAACAAGCTTAGGAACAACGAGGCGTAGCCGAGAGTTTCTTTTTGCTTCTCTCGTGCTCTACAGCTCCCAGAGTGTTTATATCACAGTACAGAGACATAAGCAGGCGTTTTATATTTCTTTTATAAGATATCTTTGAACTATTTTGCGCGAGCCTGTCTGTCGTCTTATATGAACAACAGTTGCCAGCCAATAAGCGCGCGCGGCATATTTCAAATATTTTATAGTAAGCTATATATATATGCTTATATATGTAACACCAAACGAACCAGGAAAAGAAGGTTTGCAGACAACTGAACAGGAGATGGTAACATTGATTCATGATTGAAGCCTCTTCAGTGTTACATCCTGGTCCATCCATTATACCATCGTTATTTGCGAGCAACATCTAAAAACAGGCCACATATGATGTAAGCTTATTTCCTTTATTTTTATACGATGTTATTAATATGGCAGCTTGAAGTTTTTTATGTGGCAAAATAACTTCGCACTGCCTTTCTCTTGAAATAATGAATTATCGTTCATTTATTCATTAATTCATTCGTTTGTTTATTTATTCTTTGCTAGTTCGTTCTTCGTTCGTTCATCCATCCATTGGTTCTTTCATTCATTCATTCATTTGTTCGTTCTTCGTTCGTTCATTCATTCGTTCTTCGTCCGTTCTTCGTCCGTTCTTCGTCCGTTCTTCGTCCGTTCTTCGTCCGTTCTTCGTCCGTTCTTCGTCCGTTCTTCGT